GGCCTGACATTGTTTATTTGTGTTTTGTTTGTTTTTAAAGCATTTTTGTGCAATGGAAAGTTTCACAAGCACCTGCAAGAAATTTTTGTTCCCATGGTCATCCGCTACATTGATCTCATGGAATCATCAATTGCCCAGTCCATTCACAGAGGTCTTGAACAAGAGTCGTGGCAACCTGTCAAGTAAGTGCTTTCTACAAGATCTGAACAAAGCACCTGCCTATAGCTTTCTGTGTAATCAGGTGTTCTCCCCGTTGTCCTCTAAATATTCTATTTTTTATTGTATTCCTACATTGTTTATTTCTTCACAGGAGCATCACCAACAGTCTTCCTAATGTAGCTCTTCCAAAAGTTCCAAGTTTGCCTCTTAACCTTCCACAAATACCTAGCTTTACTACACCAACCTGGATGACTTCTTTGTATGACTCCACGTGTGTATTCTTCAATAACCTTCTGACTGTATGTCAGCTCTGCATGGCCTTGCTAGTGTTCTGTGCAGCTGTATTTGGATTGCATGGTGTTTATGATCTCTTAGTTGGAAATTATTGTTTCTTGGGAGTGAGCCAAGCATGGACTGTTAGTGAGTTGCGCTTTCTAGTGCATTAAAATGTAGCAGTCTTAAACCTGATAACTTACAAAATCAACTTGGCGCAGGTCTGTCATAGTATGAATGGTACTAATACCCTAAACAACCTAATGATTCTTCTGAATTGATAAGCAGTGGGGAACCTTTTGGATAATTGATTTTAGATCATGGTTTTGTAAAGTGAGGCAGCCCATCGTATTTTTGCATGGGTTTGATTAACTCATTGTATTGTTGGTTCTGAAAATCATGGATTGCAAATATTGTCATTAGATTAAATATCCATGTTACAGGGAAATAGTAGAAGGTTAGTAAGTACCCAGAATAGAAGTACATCCATTTTTTTGTCTGTTTGAAAAAATACGTATTTCTTTTTGATTTCTCCTCAACACTTCAGTGCTCTTTCCTTAAAATAGAGCAGACATGCCCTGTTCTGTGGGAGTATTCCTATAGTTATAGGACAGATTTCTGTGTGAGGACACATTCATATACGTTAGAGAAAGGCTCAGGAAGAGCCATATTTTAGCTGAAGTTGTATTAGGAAAGGATGAATGTGAAAGACTTCAGAAAACATATGTTCAAGATGCAAAGCTTGATAATATGATTTCAAGCCAAGTATTGCCTTCTCAAGCTTTATGACAGAGTTAAACACTCCTAACAAGCACTCAGATCCATTACTGCAAGAGTTGATAGTTTGTGCTCTGCCAGCCTTCTGGCACTTGTCTGTTGAGTATTATGATTGTTGTTCTGCTGCTAATTCCCCTAAAAGGTGACAAAATTCTTCTTAATCCTTGGCTTTGGTACCTTTTGTGTTTACTATATAATGCTAGGTTTCACCTGATGTGTTTATGCAAGTCATTTCAGCTTTGAATAGAAACTAATTGGTCTTCTGCTATTCAGTTCCTCCTGTTATTCCCATCCTTTCAAGGGTTACTTTTTTTTTAAAGAATAGCTTTAAAGAGTTAAGACTTGTTATAATCTGAGATGTGGTCTTCTTACAGTCTGTATTCTAGCAGCCCCATCCAGTAAAAATAACTTGTACATATTAAAATTCATGTATTTTGAATACTGAATTTATAATTAATGTCTAATAAATATGGATTCAGGTTGGAGGATTATAGTGGTACATCTCTCCTAAATGAAGGTTTTGGTGTAGCAATAAATTCCTAGACTGTATTGTCAAAAAATGTGCGAGTACAGTGAAATTTAGACATCGGCTCATCCCCCTTGCCCATTTTTTGGTATTAAGGTTCATGGTGTGTATGGCAAAGTATGCATAACATCCTAAACTAATCAGTGAGGTTTTCAAAGCGTTCGGTGAACACTGAGGCTGACATGTGCTGTAAGCGCTTGCCAGCAGTAGCTGTCGCTCTGCTGCTTCTCAAGAGAAGTGGGGACGAGCAGTATCCCCACTGCAGTGTGGCCTCTGTAAGGCCATCATCCCCTTTCAGCCACCCCGCACAGCATTTGAGAAGAGGTCTGCCAAGGTGCTGACTCCACTGTAGACACCTCTTCATGTTCTTTTTCCCCAAACATAGAGCTATGAAGTTGTGTTTTATGAAATGCGTATAAACTAACATTCAAAACTGCAGGTAGTATTAAGTTACCTTTGTAATACTGTGGAATTCAGGTAGTATTTTAAGAATCAGCCTACCTGCGTCCTACTGAAGAGCCAAGTAACTTATTAGAATGGCCATGTATTGCATTTGGATCAAAAAATAAAAGTGAGGGCTCTGCGAGCTAGTTATTCCTCCTCCCAAGCTAATGAGTTTCCTCTTTCCTGCTGGTTACGGTGTCTCAGCTTCCGCCAGAAGAAGTGGCTTACTTTTACTATTACATGAAAAGCAGGAGGGTTTTATTTCCCCCACTGCTCCCATCCCATCCTTTTCAGGAAGAATAAAGCTTCCTTTTTCTAGTTAAATTCTCCAGTGGGGAGTAACCAAATACCTAGGCTCCAATATCTGTTAAGCAAAACCCGGTGTTTCTTGTCCGTTTTCCCTTTCGATGTGATGAACGCCCACCCCAAGTGGATTAGAGTGGCATATTGTATTGCACATAGAGTCAGTGGAGGCACCTAAATTCAGGAGCCCAGGCCCTGCTTTGTCAGACATCGCAGGTGGCTCCTTCTCCCCACTGACTCCCCCAAGTCTTTCTCTCCCAGTCCGCTGTGCTCCCTCCTCCCGGCCACGCAGCTGATGCTTTTGCAAGAAGATGACTACGTATGTCACTAAGTTGTGCTGGACTTCTCTCTTTCTCTTTGGAAGTGATGATTTTGGCCATTTAATCATTATCAATTTGAATTACACAATGAAGAATCTACAGATAAAAAGAATGAGAGAAAATAGTCTGTGAGCTGAGTTATAGTTAAATGTTTACTGAGAATGCAAAGGCCTGTGTTTATTTTGGCTGCAATAGGAAGATTTCATATTCTCCAAACTTTACTAATGTTCGTGTTCATGCTCTTACGTTCACATTTAAGTCCATTCATATTCAACAGAGCTATTATGTGCCTACCTAAGAACTTTTGCTGGAGAGGCATTCACAGTTAGTCATTTCTTCGTGTGCTTTATTGATGAAAACAGATTTTCCTCTCTTTCACCTAAAAGGTGCTGCAATTCTTTTGAACATTACTAGAGAAGATTGTTTATATTTTTTAATTCACTGTTGCAATTTTTTTTTCCTTGATCGCATGTTTTGGAGCAGTAAATGTATGCTGCTTATAACAGCACTTAGGAAGATTACCTCGTTTTCAGTTGTTTTGGCTTAAGCTTTTATTATTGGGCTTTGGAAAGGGAGATATGAAAAGGGGAAAGTGTTATGAATAGTAGTCTATTTTTCTTGATTGGTCTCAGGAGAGGACAACTCAGAGGACACCTTGGCTAGACATGCAGAGCACTGTGAATTACTGTTCCATTTGGCTGAAGACAGCATCCTGAAAAAGCAAAAAAGTTTGAATATTCTGTAAAAGCTTCTAATCAGCCAGAATAAGGGGGGTGGGGTGGGGTGTCATTACTTATTCATTAATGCAAATGTACTACTTTAAATTGCATTTTTGTTCCATTTCATATTTTAAATTTAATTTCTATGCCTCTTCTGGATGTGGCTTTTAAGTTAGATTTGTGGGTAATTTTAATTGTATATGGTTTCATTTGTACATTATTATTTTCAGTGCAGACATGAGATAGATTCACTGACCAAAAATATTGCAGATGCAGACCTGAGGTTGTCTGTTGCTATTTAGTGCGAGTCTAGAACATCAGGTTCAGCAAAACTCAAGGCTGGGGAAACATGGAATAAGATACCTGCTTGCAGGAGGATGCTCCTGTCTTGTCTTCCAGAACAGGCAACGTCAAAGGAAATGTGTCAGCTATATTCTTCCTGCTATGACTCAGCTGTAATGAGTGACAAGAGGGACTGGCTGAAGCAGTCGCAGCGCTCTGATTGTGATATGAAGGGATCTGGTCTGAAGGTGTCTGAGCTCCGGTGCTGGATGTCTCTGTGTGTTCATGCGTGCTAAGTCAGGAGGCCACCTTTCAGTGCTGTTCTGAAGGATTGCATCTGTAGTGCCCCATGTCTTCCTGCTGTAGTGCTTGCCTGCAGTAAAATGGAAGGAGGCCATGGTTTGTGTTTTTAAGGATGGGTATTTAAAAATATAGCCACAGGACTGATGGAGTAGTGAAATTTAGCTGATCTACTTTCTGTAGAATAAGGAGGTTTGAATATAGCTAGTTCTTTTGAGTGTTCTGGAAGACAAATGTATATTGTGGGCCAAATTTCTTTTCTTCCAAAAAAACTAAAATGCAGGAAGAAAGAAGAATCAAGAAACGTGTTTTGGTTGCTTGATCCTCAGCTTGCCTCACTCTTGAACTAAGTAGGAGGAACCGTGAGGTAACTCTGTCACTAATATCTTTAAGGGACTGTACACAAGCGGTTACTTGCTGCACTGAAGTTCTGCTCCATCCTTCCCCTTACCTGCTCATGGAAAATAGAGACATGGGGCAAATGGTGTTGACACTGTAAATATTGAAAATCCTTTTCTGTTAAAGAAGTTCTCAGTTGACTTTCTGAGCCCTGAATATACTTCTTGAGGCAGCATGAAGGAAGTAGAGCTGAAGCTTGCAAGCTGGGGGCTCGCAAAGGGCATAGACCTGGTGCCCTGTTTTGTAAAAAGTCCCCACAAAACTCTAATGGGTAGTAACTCAGTAATAACCTTAAAATAAGATAATTGCAGTAGTTTATAAAATCACCATCATTGCCCTTGGTAAATTCTACAAGAATGGAAGCCAGCTGGTTTTAAATCCTGTGGTTGATTGAGAATGTTTTTAGATATTTAATATTTCTCCTATATTTTCATATCCCAAGCTACCCTATGGAGTTTGACATCTACGCAAGAAATGACATATTCTGTGTCTACTCTGGAATCGTGTGTGTGCTGATCTTGCAGCCAGTGTGCTTTATTAGTGGACCGTTTGACTAATTGCTACTGCTTAGGTAGCTGGCAAGCCTAGTGGGAAGCTGCTTCTCTCAGCTGTCAGTGGATAAGTGAACTGCTTAGCAGACTGTGTACAGCTCTTAAGTTTAATATTCTGCAGGGTCTTGGAGAAACATTATATCTTGGACCTTTTTGTGCTGTGTTCAGTATGATGCAAGGCATAAAGCCGTAAAATAATTTAGGTTAAAATGGATTTCTGGAAGTATCTGGTCCAATCTCCCAGTCAAAATGTGACCAAATACAAAGTTAAATTGCTGTTAAAAAAAAAAAAAATTAAGATGGGCATATTTGCCTCTTTAATCATTGGAAACCTTCTCTTACTGCCTTGACCTGGTTAAAGAGTGGACAACTAGATAGTACCTTTTGCACAAAGAACTCTTGCTGAAAGCTTAAGTTTTGACCAGCAAAACAGTGGAATTTGTGCTTAATTTTAAAAATATAGATAACTATATTAAATAATTTTTTTTAAAAAAGAGTACCAGTTCAATTTCCTGGCAGAGCAATATTATTCCATTCATTAGATCGAAGTAGCTTTACCATACACGTTGAAATAAAAACTGTTCAATAGCCAAGAACGTGTCCTGTCCCTTCACAAAAAAATGGTTCTGCAATTATCAATGTAGATACAAATGCTTTGGTGGCTTGATTCGAATGCAGGAATTCCTTCTGCTGCCCGGAGGAAGTAAAAACTGAGTTTGGCTCTTCTTCATGTTACACTTTATGGAGTATTAAGCCCTGAAGTGACATAACCAGCTCCTACTAGGGAAAGCAAATCTCTTGACTGTACAACCACTTCAGGATATTGAGGTATCTGCTGACAATTAATACCATTTCTAATGCTTTTACTGAATAAGGGCCAGGAAAAATCCTAAAATCCAAATAAAACAAGTATCTGATACAAATAGCAGTAACAAGTTGATTGAAATTACAGTTTTCTGCAGCACTTAACAAACAAAATAGACCTTTGTGTCTGGATGTGTGAACTAGGAATAGATAGTTGTTCTTGTAGCACTTTATTTTCCCTCCTCATCTTACTAGTATAATATGTTAGTCAAATTCAAATGTCATTGGACAATGCTGAATAAAAAATTGAAGAATGAGACCTCAAAATTATATGAGAAGAGAATGAATGAATTAGTGTTTCTCACAGAATGAATTAGTGTTTCATGAACCTGTGTCTATTATTACATTTATTATAATTGTGAAACTTTATTTGGTAGTATAATGAAACCAAATTAAGTGGCTACCGGGGAGTGAACGTGCATAAGAATACATTGATGTTATTGAGAGCACATTAGTCCTCCTGAGTCCTAAAGAATTTCATTTGGAAGTCCATTAGGCAAAAAAGAAAAAAACTGTGGAAGAACAAAATACGGTTAAATTGTATGATCTGATGATGAAAAATGGTAGTTCTGTTTCCTGAGAAAGTATGTTTTGTTTTCTAGAAAATATGTGTTCTTATCAACTGTAGTACATATACTGAGATTGTCCTGGTTTCCGTCCCTATATAATTTGTTGTCTTCTTTTACCCCAGTCATCTCAAAAATTGACAAAGTCACTTTTGAATCGAATATTGTGTATAACATAGCATCTACAACTTCACTCACTGCCAGTGTACACAGGAGATGTAATGAAATCTTCAATATTTGCTTATCATATAACTTAAGAAACAGTCCAACAGGATTATAAGCTTCCTAAGGAGTGTTGGTGGTTTGTTATTTCTATTTCTTAATTAAAGTTAGCGGTGTATAAAAGCGCTCCCTGTTCAGGTCCAACCTTAACTACGCAAGTTGTAATCTTAGCAGTCCCATGGGCCTTTTTCCTGTTTCTGCTGTTTTCTTTCAGGAGCACGAAAAAAATGTAAAATTAACAATTACTGTTTAAAGTAAGTGGGGAAAATATGCGTAATATGAAAAAGGCCTGTCTGAAACTGTGGGATATCCTCCTGTGCGTAACGAAGACGTCAAAACACGTGCCGCTTAAAACCAAAGCCGAAGGCAGGGTTGGTCGCTCGGAGCCAGCCTTTTCCTTAGGCGGGCACCGCTGCTCCCGGCTCGTCACCCGCTGCCCAGCCCTTGCTGGCTGCCCCCTGCACCGGGCCCGGCAGCCCCTTTCGGCACGGAGAGACGGCGTTGCGGAAGACAGCGTTGGCTCTGAAGCCGTGGTAGCGTTAGGGCGGCGGGGCAAGGGGGCGGTTGGGGGGGTCTGGAAGATGGCGGGGTGGCCTGAGAGCAAAGCAGCGCTCCCGCCGCATCCGTGCCGCCTCTTCAGAGCCCTGAGCGTGTGCTGTGCTTTGCGTCGCTTCAGCGCCAGCTGTCTCGGCTCACTGGTGTGAACCGCTGGCGGTGCTGCTGCCCGAGGGGTGCATCAGGTGGTCGGATATTAGTGGTCCTTCCTATTTTTTCATTTGTTTTTTAATCTGACCCTGCTCTGTTCTGAGCACACTCAGCACTCACTGACTCCTTCCGTGCGAGCTGGGATCCCTTAACGCTTTGATAATGATGTTCTTTTGTCATGAGGCAGGAGAAAGAAAATGGCAGCAGTGACGTATTTAAACTATTTGGATCTGAACTGGGACTGTCAGGCTGTTTTGGTTGCTTGTGTCACTAACATCCTGGAATGCCATGCTGCGTAGTGTAACTGTCCTTAAACAATAACCCAAGCATTGCAGCACAACACATCATGAAAATGTAATTAATCCACGGTGACAGCGGAAGCGTAACTGTAGTTACTGCTAAGATTAGCCTTAAATTGTTGTATCCTTTCACAAGCAAACGTCTTGAAATTTAGTAATCGGTTCAGGGTGGAAGAAGAACTTTAAAACTACGTGGACAATCTGAGATGACATAGAGCCATATTAATCCCCTTAATTTTTGTGCATAAATTTCTTTAAATAGTTTCTGTTTTCTTTTTTCCACTGGGATCTGACGTTATTCCCTCAGTTAGAATTAATGAGCATTTATCAAGGGACTATTTGTCTGGGTTTCTCTTTTACGATATTACTACTAGCATCCTCATTTCTTTGGTAGGCTTATCTACCAGAATTATGAATTATGTTTTGAAAAGGTCCTTACTAATTAATTAATAATGATTAATTAATAATTCCTGTACCCTTTATTTTTCCTGTCTTGATCTGAAATTTGAGCTACTTCATTTTCCATGTTCCCTGTCATCCCATCCACCTCTCTAGCCTGTCATATTTCTCAGCTAACAGACAGGAAAACTTTACTTATTTCACACTAATGGGAATTATTTTAAATTTTCCATGACCATTTTCACATTCTTGGAGTAAGAGCAACGGTGCTATGAGATATGGTGAAGTGAAAGAGGAAGATGGTGTGATAAAGAAATCTTACTACCTTAGATAATTCTGTGGCAACTGGGATAGACATCCATACATTTATCTTCTGTTTCTTGGGGACTTTGTTTTGTTTTGTTTCTTATAGCAATGGCTCAGCTACATCAGAAGATCTTTTCTGGAAACTGGATGCTCTGCAGATGTTTGTTTTTGATCTTCACTGGCCAGAACCAGAATTTGCCCACCATTTAGAGCAGAGACTTAAACTCATGGCCACTGATATGATCGAAGCCTGCGTTAAAAGGTACAGTTGAAATGATCAATTAAAAATTGGGAGAGATTTGAAAATTAACATAGGAAGAGCCATACTGGCTTGCAGAGGTACATCTGTACCAAAATCCTGTCATAGGAATCAGGGCAGCTGTAAAGAGATCATGACCTGTGTGTATTTCCCAGCAGCTGGCAATCAGCCATTTGGCAACAGCTAGGAAATACCAAGCAGAATTTCTACGTACGTTGTGAATAGACCCTTGGAAGTGAATAAACCAAATCTCTTTTTTATTCCATGTTTCTGGCAAATATTAACAAATCTCAGAATTCTGCCAGAAGAAATCCTTTTACTTTTTGTACATTTCCCTTCTTCATTACTATATTATTCTTTATGTTCAGTTAGTAATACTACTTAATGTCACTATTTTAGAGTGCTGTCTCTAAGAAATATATTACAAACTATTGCATTTATACAATAAACAAAAAAAGGCTATCTGTAAGTCATCCAACTGAAACTAAGTTTTATATTGCTAAGCTTCTGGAAATTATAGAAAACATAATGTTGTTGTTTTCTTGAGCTGTATCTTATAATTATGGGTATCTCCTTTTAAATTAAACCTAGGTGATCTAAAAAGGTCTCTGCCATAGCTTTCAGTACATGTCATTGGGTTTAGAAGAAGTGTCTGTATGTCTAGAAAATTTACAGGGATCTCCTATTAGGTGTTTCAGAAGACAGAGAAAGCTTAATCTGGACACACAAAAATACTGAGTTTTAAAAAAATAAACAGAAGAATGGGGAAAAAATAAAGAAAGTTTATAGGCAATTTAATAGTGTCAATCAGAAAACATACAACATTGATAAGGAAGGCTAAAGAAACAGAGAACCTTTAACATCCGGTAAGGTTAAATCTAATAACACGGTATTTTATTATTTTCTGTTAAATGTAGTAGGAACAAGGAGAACCTCAGGCTTAGTGTATGAGCCTATTGCTAGAGCTACAGTGATGAAATCATGGTAAAAAAGGCAGAAGCATTTCACAAACATTTCTATTTGGTTTTGGAAGGGGGATAATATAGTAAATGGAATAAAAGTTTAAGCTCTGTAGCAAAGATATGAGACAATATCTACTAAAATTGATGTCATGTAAGCTTACATCCATCTGTTCTAAAGAATTTGGCATAGAAGCTCAGTCAACTACAAATATCTAACAAATTTTAGAAAAATGGTGAAATCTCAAAGGACTGGAAGACTATCAGTGCATTCTTAGTCTTAAAAACCATAAAAGGAGTAGCATTGAGGTGCAGTAATATATTGATTATATTGACTTCAAGCCTGGAGAAAAATGAAAAAAATCTTTACAGTGGGACTCTTATCAACAGGACTAAAATACAAAGATTTATATAATTAGTACTAGTTAAAATAATTTTTTTTAAAAGTGAATCTTTTCAAATTCATCTTACGTCTTTTTTAAAGATTATTACAGATTAATGTGGGAAAGGCAATTGTGTTAATATGAATACTTGGATTTCTTCTAGGCAATAAACCTAATGTCACATGTTGTCATTATCTAAAACTTCGCACCATACAGATTTGAGTGTGTAGATTTTAATGGCACACACAAAATAGGTTAAAAATGGCTCACTGCCAGGATCACAACCAGAAGCTGAGAACAGAACTACTAATACAGAGGCATTACAAAAATAATTCCTTATGGATTGGTTTTTGGCCTGCAATGCCAATCCTTACATCTTTGCTGCTTGCTTTTGTAGAGAATAAGAAGATTCTGGTGGCAATAAATGAAGGTTTAATTAATATTACAGAATGATCCTAGGGTCAATACTTAAACTGTATTAATATTTTAGAGTTAATACATAACATACTAGTGATAATACACTAAGTATGTTTTAGTGTGGTCAAAGATACCATACATCAGGTAACAAAGAAAGTAGATTATATCCATAGGATGGATTGCATTAGACAGTAGCAACTCAGAAAAGAATGATGGAACTGTTCTATTCTAACTCTTATTGTGGTACTAACACGATCTATAATACTTTTTTAACTGGAAATAGGATGCTTCTGTTCCCATCTTATTAAAATATTGTGTCAGTTTCTGGTACCCGCATTTAAAAATAAGGGTGGAATTAAAACATTACTTTTATATTTATGTATTCTGAACTATTATAATTTATTTCAGTTACATTGCTCCTTATTTACACTGGTGTGAGAAGAAAATAGGGGGTTTGTATTATGTATCTCCTGATGCATCTTACTTTTCAATATAAATATTAGTATTTGCTCAATAATACACTCCTTTTCTTCAATAAAATTCTCTTTTCTATTAAAGCCAGGTGAGGATTTTTTAATTATATTTCTTAGAAGCAAGCATTTGGTATGATAAACTGCATTTAACGTAGAAGTGCTGGAAAATGTGGGGTATTTTCATTGCTTTAAATTGTTCTTAGTCATTATACAAGGAAGCATAGTTATTCAGTAGGCAATAAGATAATACTTTTATTATCCAACTGAATTAGCTGAAGCAGTGCAGAACCTTGAGATTACCATCAATGCAATTGTTTATTGAATGGGTGGATATTCTGCACTTACAGAATTTTATTTCTAAGATGTTCTCGCGTGCATGTGCATTGTTAAGCCAACATGGTTAGTATGGTTTATAGATTTGTACAATGGTTGTTCAGAATTATCAGAGAGACTCATATTATGAATTGTGTTCTAATAAACAGAACAAGAATTGCATTTGAACTCAAGCTGCAAAAGACAAACAAAACAACAGACTTGCGTATCCCTTCTTCTCTGTGTACAATGTTTAATGTCTTAGTTGATGCCAAAAAACAGACAGCTAAACTCTGCATACTGGATGGGGGGCAAGAGGTAAGTGGAGTTTTGTATGTTTAATTCCGATGTTCGGTTAATTTGAAACATCTCACTGCAGACAGTCCTTAGTAGATTAATTTCAAACCAGCTGAAATTGTCACGTAGCTCTGTTTATACAGGAGCATGCATAGACTGCTCCCTAGAAGCATCATGCAAGACACAACCCCTCATCTTCCACCAGAGAAGACACAGAGTGCTTCTGTAATTTATTTGCTTTGACCTGTGAGTCTGTTGAACATTCAGAGGATTTCTTGACTCACAGCCCCTCCGGGAATTTCTCTTGGGTTGCAGCAGAGAAACAGCCCACTTCAGGACTCTTTTGTAATAGTAAAATAGAGCCAAAACATTATCCTTTGCAGCCAGGTTTTAAACGAGTAAGGTTTGTTTTTAAATGGCTCATATACCCAGTATTCCTGCCTGTATACATGCTGAAAATAGAAGAAAGAAATAATCAGGTAATTTAATGGGATTTTTTTATTTGGTCTCCAAGGACAGGGACTGTTTTGGCAGTAGTGTTCTGCCAGGACTGTACATACTCGGCAATGGAGCACTGATGTGCTTTTTTGAAGGATGTTTAGACTTCCCTGAATACTGTCCTTCCCATGTTGTCACTGTCGGCAGGAATAATCTGTGAAGTGAAAAGGGCGTACTACATAGACTGGTGAGATTACCAACATAAAATTAAAACTGTTCTTGCTATGCTAATGCATTAGCAGTGTAATTTTGTTTGATTTGGTTTTGGAGAGAGGGCAAAAACATTTGTCAGAATTTGGCAACAAAAAAGTATGTCTGCTTTGGGCAGTTCCACATTTACATTATTTGGTCACATTGTTTCTGTTGATATTTGCATGTCTGTACTGTGCTCTTCATTTTATTGACTCATCTTTTTAAGTTGGCGTATTCGATGTAATTGTCTTTTTTTTTTTTCAATTCAATGAGACATTCATCATTTTCCTGTTCTACCCTGTCACCTTTGTTTTTCCTTTTGGTTTTCCATGACATGAACCAGTTTGCTAGTCAATGGGTAAGTGGTTTTTCATTGTTTTTTAACTTACATTTTTTTCTTTGGTTATTAACAGCCACTTTTTATTTTAAATGGTAATATTGCTTTTCTTGTTAATTTGTCAGCCTAGCCCTTGGAATTCCTTTACAGCCTGACCTTGCTACAGACTGATCATCAGCTTCTCAGTTCTTCTTTCCTTGTTCATCCTCCTAAGGTGGTTCCAGATGAATTCTTCACTCTTCTGCTTTTCAGACCCAGTGTCCCGTCTTACTGCATCACAAAGTTTTTTTCAGCTCTCAGTGAAGCAAAAGAGCAGCAAACAACGTGTTTCAGGCTCATCAGAAGTAAAGCACAACTAGCAACTCTTTGTGTTAGGCTGGTGCTGCCATTTTATCTTTTACTTGCTGTCCAAGCAGTAACCTGCAAATACACACATGCATGCCCTTCTTTGGGGACAGACAATACCAGCACTTCCATAAAGACCTGCAGACAGATGGTATAGCCTCATTCTCCACAGTCACGCTATTCCTCTCACTTGCTCTGGATGATGCCTCCTGCATTGTCAGCCAGTCTCCTTGGAGCCAAGGTTCAGCATTTGCAGTTACCTTTTGGACTGCAGACCCTCACCAGATATCTTCTGAAATCTTCCCATTCTGTGGATTTTCAAGCCCCATCATACACTCTTCACAACACCAAAACAGAAATACAGCCCTTGTTCCCTAGTAGGTCTGACCATGACCCCAAATGCTTCCAGTGCTTCTTTTCATTGCAAGAGTGCAAGTGTAGTGAAAAACATACTTCTTTCAAAGTCCCCAAATTAATATTCATGCCATTTCATTTAATAAACCAAAGGAATCTCAAATTCTTCACATATCAGAAATTATCAGATAATGTGGAAACTTCCTTCTTTCTCATAAACTTCGAATTATTGTCTATAAGTTTCTTCCATTCCCAAGGCTTTTTTTGAAGATTAAGAAAAAATTGGCTTTTCAGTTGCTTGTAGCTGATGTCATAGTTGTTTGAAATGCTTCAAGATTTGTTGAGTGAGATACTTCTGGAATCTGCCCATCTGTCAAAGTAGGCAGGAGAACATCTCATAACATAAACAGTTGCATCTCTGATTCCCCTGTAGAAGCTCTGGCATTTCCAATTACTCCTACTTAGCCATTTGGTCTTGAAACCTTTTCCTTATTATGTTTCTTTCCCTTGTCCTCTTTCATCTTCATTTTAGTCTGAAACATGGTCCTTTATGCCAGTCAAGAAAAGCATTCCATAAGGCCTGACCTAAAATTTTCAAAAGGGTTGTTCGTTTACCTAAAACTCAACACTGAATATCTATCTGACAGTTTCTAGAACTTACTCTGCAAATGATGGAAGGTGTTATTTAATTAGATGGTTAGACTCAAACATTTCCTTTCATACAGCATGCTCTTCATTCCCTATATGGAGCTATAAGCAGTTGCATATCTTGTTCAAGTAGAGTCAGATGCAGAAGTTTTCACCCTGTGTTGTCAGATAGGAGGGAATTTGTACTTAACATGTAATTAGGGCATTCTGATCATGGTTAGCAATCAGCAACTTGAGTTTAGAGTTTCAATTTGTTTGGGTCCCCTGGTTTTCCTTCGTTACTTCATGCACTGCTCACCATTCTCCCAAATGTCTTCCAGTTAAGTCCACTCCCATAAAGAGCCACTAAGTCTGCCATTCAGGAGGGCTCCCTTCCTTGCCTTCTGGATATCATCTTAAAGCCTAAGAGAAGCACAGCATAATTTGGCTGTACGGATGATCATTACATTGTGTTTAAAGAGAGCTCAGCTGTCTGGATGCCTTCTACATTGGTTGTCAGTTGCTTTAGGAGGGTTTGAGAAACAGGTCCAGGGGCGAATTGCCGTATCTCAGACTAACTGTTGGTGCCTGCAGCCTGCTTCATGGACAACCAGAATGGCAATTCATGGAGTACAGGGCAAGGATACAGCAAGACAGCTAAGTAACGTACTGGTTGCTGGTATTTCTCAAATAGTTGCCTGCCTGGCTTCTTAGTTTCAGTGAATGTAATCTTGGGTAGTTGTATGGTGAGCGGTATCCCACTTCCTTCTGTCCTGAACCAGAAGCCAACAGGTGCTACTCCTTTACAGTCCATGGATCCCAAGTCAAATGAATAGCAGCAGTAAGGGAAACCTTTTCTGTCACACAACATTCAATCCAGAGATTTTTTGGCCTTTGTTATTTGTGATAAATAGTTTAAAACCTATTAACTTATAACTTTATGATCTAAATGCTGCAGTATTCTGGCAACATTCACCTTTTTGAATATGATAGGTAAAAATCACAGAGAAATATTGCTGGAGGCAAGAATCAAATGCAAGATATTTCTGGAGCCGCTTAGGTTGACAAATCATTAGATCCAAGCGGGACCTTAGATCTGAGTCACAGTTTATTTGTTGTTTTGTGTAACTGGATAGCAGGAGCAGAGTAAATGCCATTAGTCTATACTGTTGAGTGCTTCATAGTGGAACATGTATAGAAACTGTTTTAGTTGTTTCAGAATTCCAGCCTCCCAGTACCTTATCATTCTTATACAAAATGAGAGACATACGTTTCAATTTGGGGAAGAATGAGTGTTATGCCATTTCAGTGGAATGCGCCACAGCCAGTGCTGTGCATATCTGTGGAAAAATTTAGGGAGAAGTGGGCTTTAATTTGATGAACTTTGTTTCTGAAGCTATTTTGGTTCATACAATTCAAGGAGGAGACTCATTTCACTGCATAAATAGTAGAGGATTATAGCCGATTTGATAGTAAAAGTGCAGAGACAATCTGCATGTAATACTGTAATGTTATATGTTGGCAGTAGCAATTGCCATTCAGATGATCATGTGCAATTTATTTTCACAGCCATCCAACCTTAAAACAAGGGAAACACAGGGAAACAAAAAAGTTTTTCCTTAAAACAAAGGAAAGCTAGCCTGAAAATGTTTTAAACAAAACCAAAACCAAAATACGCAAGTAGTTAAAAAAGCCACCTCCTATATTGGATCACAGTGAGGTAGAGTAGAAAAGAAAATTGGCTATATTGTAGAACTGAGCAAGTTACAGCTCTCAGCTCATCACCACAGGATTTAGGAACAAACTCCTCTGTTCCCCAAAAGCACAAGTGTCAAAAGGCACTAAAATACTTTGTCTCCTTCCAAACGCTAGTAGGAGCAGAGGGCCACATTTGGAAGACCAACCAGATTGCCCTCAAAAGACAGTCCTGTTTGGTTACATCTCCTGACACACTTTGCCACTGGGCATAGTTTTCTCCCATGTAGCTCCTAGAGCTGCAGCTGTATTTTGTATTTTACTGGGAGTTACTCTAGGGCGGAAAGGCAGAGCCCCCTTCAGGGGCTTTGGGGTGATGCTGAAAGACTCCACAACATGTATTCAAATAATTTAGCTGTGGGAGCTGAATTGTCTAGATTCAGACTCCATGCGGACTGTGATCACATCAGCGGGCAGAGGAATGTAAAGGCACAATTCACCATAAATGTGTTTGGAAAAGTAGTGAGGATTTGTCTGCTCTCACCAAGCAAGCTTGGCAGAAGTAGAAAAGCAGGAGTCTTACAAGTGCTGATTTCAGGATCGTGCATGCAACCTTGTCAGCTCATATGATTTTATCATTAATTCCACAATATTTGCCATATTCCTAAAGCCTTTTTCCTGGGGTCAAATAATCTTCCACAAGGATCTGAAGTTTTGTTTTGTCAGGGGTGGCTGTTTTGGTGGAAGTTGGAACTGGAGAGGAGTGGGTTAAAAAAAATTACGATCTCATAGGTTACAAAATAAATTGTGAAAAAAAGGAAATTAAATTTGGGTTAAAAAATCAAATTATTTTAAATAAATGTCATGATTTTGGAAGCTTGTTGTGATCTTTGAGTAATTTGATTTAGTACTTGTTTTTCTTGGTCACCCAGTGAAGTTACTCATTATAGTGCATTCCTACAAAAAAAAAAAAAAAGCAAAAATATAGGAACTATACATAGATCCATTAACTTAATGTGCTGTGGAGGTACAGTTGCAGACACTTTATGGGAAGGACAACTGTGATCATAGGAATATGTATAGTTTTGACATGCATCTATGGGAATGTAATTGTTTGTTGTTTTCAGAGAGTAAGAAACCAAGTGTAAGCAACAGATGTCAGACAGTTCAGGGTGATTTAAATCCTTAGCAGTTCAATATTATATTGGTCAAGATATTAATATGATTAGAATAAAATATATCTGGAACTATGGAAAGTTCTTTGATGTATTTCTAATACATTCATTCACTCTTCTGAGTTGTCTGCTGATGTTTGTCTGAAACATGTATTCACATTTTGCAAGTGTTTTTAAACTTTAAAAGAAATTGAAACCAAAAATTAACAGGCTTGGTGTTGGTATCTGGAACAGATACATATGAGTGGGCAAACACATCTCATGGTTTTGTTCTCTCTCAATTTAAATGCAAGTTCGGTAGGTGCGCTGTTTAGAAAATCATTCCTAAATATATTAAGCAGATCAGATTTAATGTTCTGGTTTGTATGGCAACTCTGAGACAGATGAAAAAAATAGCCTTTAAAAACTTACAACTCTGAAACCTATTCAGCTGGCAGCTGCTAACTTAGGCTAATATTTATACTGACCTCAGTACTTTTACTCCGAGCATTATGCTGTTAGCTGTTCCAAGTAGCCTTGAACTATGAAGATAGGGTTAGTCTTTACAAGTCACATTTTCTGTGAAGTGGCTATTGGGGACAATCTTTGCTGTCAGATAAATGTTTCTAAAGGAAGAATTACTGTTTAAATTGATGTGCCTCCTTGACAGAATGGGATCCCTAGTTCCTGTTAATTTCAGGAGGGAACTCTGTAGTATTATCTAAAAAGTCTTTCAGATTTGTTTTAAAAGCATTTACTTAAAGGCACCTTCTTTATGAAAAAGCAAAAGAAAAAGGCTATGGAGAATGAAGTCTGTTTTATTATGCCTTTTATGGCCTATTAATTTGTTACCATCTATTCTGCTTTGTTGATGAAATTTTAATTTTGCCCTTGCTTGAGCATATTGTAAGATTTGTATAAACTGCAGCTCACTGTGCTAACAGAAAGGCTCTTTTAGGATGAACAATTGGAGCTCATTTTGTTTCTAGAGGACATTTAAAATAACTTATGAATGAGAGTTGTCAGACATGAAATGCTGTATTAATTAAATCTTATTCTAGTCTTTTTGCTTCTCCAGCTAAACCAACCCTTTAGAAAAAAAATACATGGCCACCTTAATTATATAGGAGAAGACAAAAAGTATCCTTCACATTCCTTCGCCTGAATAAGAATAAGAACTCAATTCATCTAAATAATAACCCCATTAGCTGCTTAACTCAACAGTGTACATGGGAAAATTTTCAACACAGAATGTAAGAAAGTGTTGATTGGGTGGATCGTTTTCAAGGGTTTGTTCTTCTGATGTTCAAAATGATAATTTTAAGTAAATCTGATCTGGCAGGGTTATCAGCTTTGTACCATTTATGACTTATGACAAAAGTGTGTGTTCATATACATGCTAATGCTTCTTTATCTTTCAAAATACAGCAACAATACCATTCAAAAATAGATGACTTGATTGAAGAAACTGTTAAAGAAATTATTTCACTTCTTGTTTCAAAGGTAAAACAATTTAGATTTTCATTTATAATAAAGCAGAAAAATACATCTCTAATTACTGAACTTCTGAAATGTCTTTAACTGTCACACAGTTTTTCTGTACACAATGAGATTGGGGGGACAGCAACATGATTTGTAAATAACAGTCATCCAAATAATATCGAATTTACAAAATTAAATTTCACAACCCATTAGGTAAACTATTTCTGTGCAACTTGCTAATTGGATAAGTTTCTCTTCCATGTTTCTGTTATAGATAAGAACACTAGCAGCTAGCAGAACTGGCAGGACTTTATTATGTCAATATTATCTTAAGTAATAGCATGTTTTATTTGTTGTTTAATTTTTCACAGGAAAACTTTCTTCCTATCACTAAGTAATATTTGAATTTTATATTTAAAGATGCCAGAGTATCAGTATAACTTTTTAATGAGATTTTGCTCCACAAACCATTTAATTTAAAAATATTTTATACGTTGCTATTTCTTGAAATGGACTTTGTAGGGTTTTTTTATATTTAAAAAGAAAATATGTTTTCACATAACATAGGTGCTTGGAGAGTAAGTGAAGAAAACTTAAACAATGTTTTATGTTACTGTACTGTAGTACTGCACCTCTACTCCAGCAAGTGCTTGATAGAAAAGAAAAGCTTTCAGTCCCTAATAGTTCAAAGGACACAGCAAATGACAGAACAGAAAGATTTTATAAGACATTTTGTTACCTATGCATTGCAAACTACCCAGAAATACCTGATTTTCAAAGTAGGAGAAATAAGCTGTACATTCACAATTTATGAGTTAGTGGGAAAAAACAAGACTGTGGTCATATTTTCATCATGCCTTCATTTTCACTTGTTACAGCTTGCTGGCACAGGGTGGGGGGAGCAGGAATCTCCTTTTGGATTGACACCCACCACACTTGCACAGGAGTTGAAGAGGAAGAGTTTTGTAGAATTGTTGCAGAATTTTAAGCAACATGTGTCCACTTACTGATAAATGTGTAAAAACCACCCGCATTTTTTCTCTAAAGTGAAGTTTTGACAAGAACATAACTACAAATGGTTCGATTCGACAGTTTCGAGTTTTGCATGCCGCCTGTCATCAGTCCAGACTGACCTGTCAGTTTATGGGTTTAGTGTTCCTGAAGAGGAAGAAATGGGAATTTAATCAGAGTGAATCATGCTATTAAAAGTTAAACCTTTTCATTATTTTTTTTAATATCTGAGATTATAGAAGAAGGAAGAAAATAGTCATATTCCTCCTGAATGTATGTACAAGAAGTTCTAGAGACAACTGCCATCAATACAGAGGGATTTGCATTCTTAGGTATCACATATGCTATTACCAGAGGTTGAAAACTCGGAACAGGAAGCAAATATTCTGTGTCACTGGCTGCTTATTAGAAGCTTAACCAGTCTCTCCTCACTTGAGATGTGAAATGCCGGTGTCATCCTGATTGCTTCTTTCTCAAGGCAGAAAGCCTCTAAGGGTACAGAGGAAGGCTGATGTTTCACTCTTGGTTTTGGTGAGGAAAAATGCACGTCAACGTGCATAATACCCATGTGTGTGCATTTTTTTCATCTAATATATTTTTGTTGGTTTTTAGCCTTTGCCTCTGTATTATTTCCTTTGTGTTCCAGTGGAATAAGTGTTTCAATAATTGTTTTTAGCTGCAAGTCATCTATGAAAATGAAGAATACTTTCACTTCAGTGAGACTTTACTTGGTAAAGACTATGCTGTGCATTTTGTACGCAAGACTTACCAAGCTAAAGCATTTAACAAATCACAGGAATAGCACAAAACAGTGAAACAAAGCGCAGTGTGTCTCAGGGTAACCAGTTCAGAGAATGTGAGGTATATGCAGAAATGCTCTTAGAGCTTCACACGTCCGGTCACTGAGGTCTCAGAAAACAAGTTTCCAGCTTCATATCTAAACCTTTCGTTTAAATGGACATCCTTGGCACTGCAATGTTTTGATCTCTGTTCTTTTGTGTCCCGCTTTTATTGGAACCATTTGTTGGCACTGTGGACACCATGTTGTTTGTGAGATCAGCCCCTTCCATAGTGGATCTTTGTACAATAAGATTGAACGCCCTTCTGCAGAAAGGACCCTTGCCAGTCAGATAAAATGAGTTAAAGTATGAACGGCAGCTTCTCGCAGGCATGCAACGGCAAAGCAGAAAGCTGGTATTTGGTCTAATAAAGGGACTGTAATTATGCTGTGCATGGGGTGCAGAAACAACTGCTACTCTCTGTCATGATGTGGTTTTATTCCTTCATCAGCACCTACATGCTGGTGTCTTAATTAATCACTGTAAATATGACAGGTTAGATTGATAAATGACAAATGTAAGTTTGCACTTGCTCCTGCTCCTTGAACTGTTAAGAGCAGGGCTTATTGTAAAGTGATGATCTCCGTTCCTCTGGAGGTGACACTGTTGTGACACTGTTACAGTGCCCATTAACAGCATGCCAGATGGAATTTTGTTCTGTCCTCACACTCATAAAATGATACTCGTGGTTGTGGGAATGACTGTGTTGGGAACAAGGGATGACTTTTAAAACAATCTTCATATAAACTGGAAAGCAATTCATATGTGTAAAATAAATGCACCCGAATACAACAGCTGACAGATATTTTGTTATATACCATGAATGACTTGAGCAACATAACATCACAGAAGGACATGAGAAGGGGATTTGTTTGTTTTAAGGCTAATTTGGGGGAGTTTAAACATTAAGGCTATAATTAATGCAATTAATAAGATTTTTTTTGCTCAGAAATAAATTTTGGCAAAAACACCTTTTCATGCCACTTGCTGAGGAATGACACTACTCAGAGAATTGCAGGTGAAAGTATGGGGGGGTGGGAACTACACCATACCAGAGGTTTGGGTCCTACATTTTCTTGCCCCTTTTTGGCTATTGAATAGCAGTTCAACAGCACATGCCGTTGCTGAAGATGAGCTGACAGAAAACTCTAGTGCTGTTATACTGTTGGGTGAAATCAGAGCTGGGTTTCTATTCAATAGCAAAGGTAAGAGGAACATGATATTGAGCACCACCTTTAACAATTGTGATCCATCATCTTTGAAGCTGTGATCTTAGAAACTGTGGTCCTAGAAAATAACGTGTGTTTTCTACCCAAAATACATGCTGGGTACACACACTCCTCTATTTAACCACACATTCGAGAGGCAGCAAAGTGGTGTTGGGTAGCAGGTCCACATCAGGAGAATTTTTGGGTTGGGTTTCTATTTCTGTAGCGTTTCAGCAATGATTTCCATCAGTTTGATCAATAGGTGAAGCTGAGAAAAGAATGTTGTCCTTGATTTCAGCACTTTGTGAGATGGAGAAAGTGATCAAATTCACAGTTTGCATTGCCCTGCTGAACAACAAAAATCTGAGGAAGAAAAACTCACATTTTCATTCAAAATACTTACTTTTCATATTGTGCATTTAGATTTTTCTCTGTGCTTTTCCTCCAGGTTGTTTCGGTGTTAGAAGGTGTGCTGTCTAAACTGTCAAGATACGATGAAGGTACTTTCTTCTCATCATTAGTTTCATTCACTGTAAGTGTTTGGACTCACAATGGTTCTGTTCTTCTTTCTGTGCATAATTCTGAAATTGTGCACAATCTGTAGTAATAAGCACTTACTGTATGTTGTTTTATTTTTAATTTTCTAAAGGTGAAAGCAGCTGCAAAATATGTTGACGTTCCTGTAAGTACAACTCTTTTAATTTTTTTTTTCTAGTGTTCATAATAATTCAAAAAATTGGGGTTTTGTTAGCTCACATTTTTTATTGTTGACATTTTGCTTTCCTACAGAGATTCATTATAGCTTTACACAGAGTATTTAAACAGCCACTACAACCCTCAGAGGGCATTTCATTTCCCTCAAGCAACGAGTAACTCTCAAAGCAAAGCTTAGAAAGGTTATTCTCAATGCACTTTTTCAGTTGTGGAAGAGTGAGGATTGTAACTTAGATACTCGTTTGTAGGGGTCTTTCCATCATTTGGCTACATTGTTCAAATGTAGAGGATAAGCAACAAGTAAAAGCATCATACTTGAATATCCATTATTTATTGATTTCTTACTTCAGGACCGAATCTCGCTTATTTAATCCCTTGCTTGCTAAATCTCTATTTGACGTACCATTGCTTATGCAATGTTTGTGTGGTATAAATAAAAACTAAAAAGGGTAGCTGTTGGAGCTCTTTTATACATAAAAGCAAAATTCAGCTATTAGACTATTTTATTAGAATATCATAGTAGAGTATCTTTTGTTTAAAAAAGCAAGGAAGAATTTATTAAATATTTTCATTATCACTGTCAATAAGTATCCTTTGTTCTCTCACAAATCTGTGTTCTCATCCCTTTTTAATGTGATTCCAAAACAATCTTATTTTCTAAGCATAGCAAAAAATGGCTAAAATTATGATGTTAATGACCTTACAAGAAATAAAATTACAAATATAGAAGAACACCAGACATGCTAAGCTATGTGGTGGCCAGAAATCCTTTCAGCAGTTCTATACTTAAAAATATAATACTTGCAAGCTTTAATTAATTCATTTTTTTAAGTCCATGCATACAAAATAAAAGGAAAAATCTCTATTTCTGGAATTCATTATTTTGCCGTATTTGCTTTATTCATAAGATAACAAATTGTAATATTTTTGTTCGGATAATGTTTTCAGAATTTTTTGCTTATTTGGTTACCTGTGGACTTTTTGTTGAATTGTATGAATGCTCTTGTGTTTTATAAAAAAGAAAAAAAAGTAGGCCCAATCTTGCATTCAAAGGAATGACCTCGTATCAAATCCAGTTAATTTAGAATACCTCTTGTTAATATATTGTGCTGTGGAGCTGCCCCAAAAGGTCCTTGGTGAAGCACTTAAGACTCAAAAGCTTGAAGAAAAAATTACTGAACAAACTAGAAATTCATTGACTTCTTTCAGGTAACATGAAAAACTCTCCAAATTACATAGAATATCCATGAGAAGGAGATGTTGAAGTCTTTTACTGTTGGCCTGGATATGTTGACGTTGAAGTTAATGATAAAAATGAGACCGAAAAATACCTCTGCCACAAGCTCAGGGGAATATTGTGAGTCAGGTCACGCAGGGATGCACTGCTCCGGAAGGAGGGGAAGGCAGAGCAGGGAGGTGGTTGCTGGAGCCCTGTTGCCTTTCTCACCTTCACTGAACGGTGGTGCTTGGCCTGAAGAGACAACCAGATCATAGACAGGCTGTCAGGATCCTTGCATTTTTACAGTCCCTTCACTATCCCACACACCTTGCCCACAGCCCACGAGGTGAACTGGGCTATAGTACTACAGCTGTAAACTACAGGTGTAAACTGTACTTCAGGGAGGCTGTGGATCTGTCCAAGCAAACATCTTCCAAATTCTGGAGGACGTTTTCCCCTGGGTTGAAGGAGTTTTGTAGGCTGGGGTTTGGTTTTGCTTCTTCACATTCTTCCCCTTTTTGTGAAGATGCAGTTGAGGCCAAGAAGAGCCGTTACTGTCATAACTGACAGCAAGTGTCCAGTCTGAATAGAGTCTAAAATCACCACTTGTGGGAGTTACAAATGCCACCTGCAAAAGGAAGCTGTAAGTCATCACGTTACAAGGTCATCTCCTGGGCTCGCAACTGAAGTGAGAAGTGGAGAGCGGGTGGCACAGGGCGAGGGATTTATGCTGAGCTCTTGGTCGTGTGATGGTAACCTAGCAAGCCTGCACTGAAGCTAATTAAATGCCTCGTATAGCAGTATATTGAACTGATATAGTTTAAAATCTCTTCTTAAGTCTGTCGTGGTTTAGCCCCAGCCAGCAACTAATCACCACGCAGCCGCTCGCTCACTCACCCTACCCCGATGGGATCGAGGAGGGAATCGGAGGAGTAAGAGTGAGAAACACTCCTGGGTTGAGATAAGAACTGTTTAATAATTGAAATAAAGTAAAATAGTAATGCTAATAGTAACAATATAATAAGGATAATAACAATAATAATATACAAAGCAAGTGATGCCCAATGCAATTGCTCACCACCCGCCGACCGATACCCAGACAGTTCCCGAGCAGCGATCGCTGCTCCCTGGCCAACCCCCCCCAGTTTCTATACTGAGCATGACGTCATGTGGTATGGAATAGCCCTTTGGTCAGTTTGGATCAACTGTTCTGGCTGTGCCCCCTCCCAGTTTCTTGTGTACCTGGCAGAGCATAGGAAGCTGCAAAGTCCTTGACTAGCAAAAGCAGTACTTAGCAACAACTAAAAACATCAGCGTGTTATCAACATTCTTCTCCTACTAAATCCAAACCACAGCACTATGCCTGCTACTAGGAAGAAAATTAACTCTATCCCAGCCAAAACCAGGACAAAGTCCCTCCTTACCATACAGCTGTATATATGGAAGTGACTTAAAGGTGACCACAGTAGGAGCTTTCTTTTGATGTAGTTGTAAATATGTGCAAAGTTGCACTTTGTTAGATGACCACGTTCTGCCCCTGTTCCCCACCTCCATTCGAGGATCTCACTGGGTCACCTTAGCGCTGTCCTTGGGGTTTCTGAAACAGAGCTATTGATCACTTGATGGATCTGGGGGAGAAGGAGGTTGGGGGAGGCAAAAGGCCTTCGGGGGTTTTTTGAGTGTGTGAATTCAGCAGAGTTTTTGATCTTTGATTACCAGGCTCAATATTTGGCAAAGAGGTAAAAATATGCTGGTTTATAGTGAAATAAGAAGAAACTAACTAGACAAAAGAGATGTTAGAAGAAAATGAAGGTAGTACTGAGCAGAACGTTTTAGAGAGAGGATGAGAGGTAAAGGGGATAAAAAAGTTAAAAGGTAAATAAAAGATTCAAAAAGGATGAGGACATTCTTGGATGCTTCTTGGTCATTTTGAGGAAAAGGTTAATTCTATTAATATTGAGAGGGGATTTAGGCATTAAATAGCTGGGCATAAAGATGCACACTCACCAGAAGGCATCCCTCAACTTCTCAGGGCAAGGGTGGAAAATGGAGACACAGACTTGCAGTCCATTTGGCAGATATGTTTGTAAAAATGTTGCTATCTACCCTTCCATTCATTAATCTTGCCAGAGAATTATGAATAACTCCATCCAAAAAAAAGGAGTTTCATCTTTTTTTTTTTTAACCTGTTCAAGAAAACATTCAACGTAAGCCTCCATTTTTCAGAATGCTCTTTACGAAGTGGGACATACACAGACACAAGGAGCTCTCATTGCTTTCCCCAGCTATTCTGTATAGAGCTATACGGACACTGTGTATGTTTTGGTAATTGAAACACCAACAGAAATACTAGGAACAGTGCAAAATAACCCAGACTAAGATGAGTAACAAGAAAGAAGGCTTATGATTTCCTAAAAATAATACTGAAAAAATCTCGTTGCTATTATGCTCTTTTTGTTGGTAATTGTCACCATACGTTATGCTCTGAAGTGAAAGAAATTGTGGCTGCTGTGCATGTGAGCGAAACCAAATGTTTGGAGGAAAATAACACAAATGTTACAAATATAAGTAGTACACCAAGGATGCAATTTGTTCTCTTGTTAATGCTATATTTTGATGTTTGGGAATGCAGGAGCTGATTTGGGTTACAGGTTTTTTAAAAAAAACCTCAGTCAAATCCACTATAACTCTTTGTTAGTTTCTCTTAAAACCCAAGCAATCCTTAGAAGATGTAGAATTACAACCTCATTTTTTTCTTTCTTCTTGATGTTCTGTTCACAAAGCCAGTTAATTAATGAGAATACGGAAAGAATGCAGTAGAATTAAGGGAAAAAAAATGTATATTGTTAATCTCAAATGATTATTATTCCTCAATCATGTAGATAATTTCATTGTGTTCAGTTTCTCATCATGTAAGTCAGTTTTGCACACAAATAATTGCATTTCTGGCTGGTCATTTCTACACACATTTGCCTCATTTACAAATATAACCAGAGCAATTACTCATACAAATTGAGCATCCAGTTACATGCATATTTATATACTGCTTTTTGTTCGGAAAGGTATGTTTAAATCCCTTTGTAGGAGCCAGTAATCTATGCCAGTCATGTAGAGGGCACAGAAGGAACCTAATCCTCCCTCACTCATGTAGGCCACCTGTCATACCAAGTGCAGAGAGGCCATTTGAAGGACCCAGGCTGACAGCAGTGCACAGCTCGCACAATGCCAGGCCTCTCGCTCCGCTCTTGCCTTTATGTGGGGATCAAAGGTATGAAAAGGGGCCTCACACATGTGCCAGCATTTGACTTATGGGGTCCTGTAGAGGCCGAAGTAGGAACTCTGCCTCCTACCGGGCAGATACACATTGGGTCCTTCCAGATACCTCCATTTCCAAATATCACACTTGTATTGCATGGCCTCATTTAGCTGGTTTTAAGAAGCAGATGACTTTTTCTGGAAAATCGGTGTTTATTCAGGTGTGGCCATACCGTGCCATTCATTTTTAAGCAGGATTTACTTGGAGACCTCTGTTTAAAAATAAAGAGCACGGAACAGTCATTATCCTCGTGCTCAGGGCTTCTCCTGCCTTCCTCCTCCTCCTCCTCTGTATACCCCAACCTGGGAACTGGCCCTTCTGTTTTCAGATCCATAAAAACAAGCTATTGCAGAATTGGAGGGAAAGCCCTGCATCACCTGTTTTGAGTCAGCAGTGTTTTTGAGATATCTCTTACATGGAGATCAGAAGGATG